CGCTACCCGGGCGTGCGCGCCTCGCCCAGCGCCGCCTCCAGCTCACGCCGGTAGGCCGCGTAGCGCCGCTTCAGGCTCCGCAGCTGCTCGTCCTCCTCCTTGTCCAGGATGCGCAGGAAGTTCTGCAGCTCCGGAAGGCTGAAGGCTTCCCACTGCGCGGGGACACGGGAAGGTCAGCAGGCGGGCGGGGAGGAGCCCGCGCTCGGGGCGGAGGAGCCGCGGCCGGCACCCCACGGCTCAGCGCCCCCCGCGCCCCACCTCCCACGCCTACGCCTGCCCCGCGGACACCCGCGCAGCACTCCACCCGCGCTGCCTCCCGCCCGCTCACTGCACTCCCCACGGGAAGGGCTGCGGCCTGCGGAGCAGCGTTCTGCCGGCCCCTCGTGGCTGCTCAGGTTAAGTCTGACAGCTTCGAACCTCTGCAGCACCACCTCCCGGGGCTCAGGCTCCCTGCTCCACCCTGCCCGGCCACGCTCAGCTCGGAAGGCCTCTGGGGCGTCCTTCTGTCCCGTCCCAGACGGGGTCAAGGCACTCTCACTGGGCACTCATAACTCTATTCACAACCAAAAAAAAATTTTTTTTTGGCCTTTTTGAAGCAGGGTTTCACTATGCAACTCAGGCTGGCCTCAAACTCCCAGCGATCTTCCTGCCTCAGCCTCCTGAATGCTGAGCACTACAGGTGTGCGTCACCACGGCTGCCACAACCAAGAGTATTACATTCCTGTAACTCTTTGGTATCTCCCTCCCCTGCGCCTCTCCCACACTGCAGCTGTTCAGGATTTGTCTCCTGCCGTGGGGCTCTTGGTTCCGTTTCCCTAACAGCACCTAGTAATTTCCTAAAGCTTTTTAACTGAAGCGGTGACTGTCAAGGAGAGTACTGACGTCCCGCAGTGTCAAGGGGACTGGCGCCGAGAATCACTGCCAAGGCCAGGACGCCGGCGTCTGGTGGTACCGAGAAGACTCCAGGCAGCCAACATAAGCGCAGGGAGAAGAGCGCGGAGACACCGCCAGGCGGCCCAGAGGAGGAGGCTTCCTGGACGCGGGCTGAAGCAGGCTGTTAACGCCAGTGACAAACACGCGGGAGCACCACTTCCTATCTCAGAAAGCTGTTAACTATACAAATTTCATGTGCGTGAAGGTTTTCAAAATATGGACATTAAAAAAACACCTTCTCCCTCCAGCCGTAGCAGCTATGGAAAGTTTACTCCCTCAGCCGGACATGATGGCACACACCTGTAACCCCAGCACTCAGGAGGCTGAGGCAGGAGGATCCTTGCAAGTTTGAGATCAGCCTGGGCTACAAAGTGAGCTCCAGGCCAGCCTGAACTGACGCTGCCTCAAAAAGACAAAAAATAAAAAAGTTTACTCCCTCAGTTTTTTCCTACGTAACTGAGAATCCAGAGCCCAGACACAGGTCCAACGAAGCGCTCTGGAACATTACAACAAAACGCTGATTTCAAAACTCGCTCCTCCCTACAGGCTGCCCTAAGCACACTGAATCATGTGCAGTGCTGAGTCCAGTAATGAGAAAAATAAAACACCGGCAAAGAGGCTTGCTGGTGCCCAGCGCAGGTTCTCAGAGGGAACGCCGCCAGCTGCAAACCCAGGGAGACTTCTGCACCCTGCCTTCTCAAAATGGGAGCCTGGGTTTCTTACAAAGCTTCCCAACTGTCGCAAATCAGTCTTCCTACGATTCCCTGGACAAGCGCTCATTTACACACACACTACTTACCCTGTTTGTGTACATTCCCACTTGTGACTAAAAAACCACCTCTTAAAGTAGTTAGTCCACCTTTTATAGATCTTCAACACAAGGTTGAAAGATTAAAAGATTCACCCAAAGTCACAATCCAAATCTAACACACAGCCAGAAGCAGAACCTGATTCTGCTTCTCTTTTTTTTTGAGACAGGGTCTTGCCATGTAGTTCAGGCTGGCCTCAAACTTGAGGCAATCGTCCTGCCTCAGCCTTCCGAGTGCTGGGATTACAGGCGCAGGAGTCCTGGTTTCTAATTTTTAACCTAGAAACCCCATTCTCACTTCACACTACTTCCTGTTCCCAAGAGAAGAGGCGCAGAGCCTGAGAGGCGGCTTAGGTGTCATTTACACTGACGCTGAATCTAAGGGACACCCCAGGAGCTCCTCCCCCCGCGCCACTGCCTGACCGCCATCCTCCCTGCAGAGAAAATGGCCAACCACACATATGCAGGCATAATTTTTTAATCATCCGACCGAGCAAAGGAAAACAAAAGACTCTAGAGAAAGCTATGCTGCACAGAGATCAGGTTTCCTTTGCTTTCCCTGTGGAACGGAATTAGCCCGCAGACTTTTCTTAGCAGCAGACATATGGCGGGTGTCCACTTTCAAAGCGCAGTCAGAGTCAGCTGGTGGCGGGAGGGGGCAAAATGACTGTCTGGGGGGATACACGAACGCTTATTCTCCCACCTCGGACATGTTCAGGCCAAGGTAACACTGACAAAAGCACGCTCAGGGTTAACCTTGGGTTCCCTGTGGACAACTCCAAGGGTCTCCCTCTTCCCTTGCCTGGTCGGGTCTCTGCGCCAGACTGTGAAACAGGCCAGCTGTCCCACACCGCGTGAGCCCCGCGGGGTTCACTTACCTCTCCGATTTCATGTTCCCGCAGAACGAAGCTGAGTGTGTCGGTTCTGGGCCCTGCTACCAACCGCAGGTAGAGAGGGTGTTCTTGGTCTGCGAGCTTGCAGGCATAGACTGCAGGGAAACGGCGTGTTACAGACAGCTCATCATCCGGAGACAGGTCACCGCCCCTCCTTCAGATCAAGCGGACGGCTGCTTCTCCGGCCCGTCACCACCCCCGCATCTTCACACCAGCAGCCCGGAGTGGAACAAAACCTTTCCACTTCCACGCTATCTGCTCAACAGAAACCATACCTTCACCAAGGAGGGGATAATATCGGAGAATAATTTAAGTGGGTATTCGTCACAAAACATATTTGAAAGCTAGGTGTGGTGGGGTGTACTTGTAATCCCAGCACTCAGGAGGCTGAGGCAGGAGGATCACTGCAAGGCCAGCCTGGGCCAGCTTGAATTACTACACAGGAAGATCCTGTCTTTAAAAAAAAAAGGCATTTGGAATTATTATTCTGCTCCTTTTTTAAAAAAAAAACTTTTTAAAAAAAAACTTCAAACACTGCCAGGTATGCTGGCACAATGCTATAAACCCAGCACTCAGGAGGCTGACGCAGAAAGATCGCTGGAAATTCAAGGCCAGCCTCAACTACACAGTGAGACCCTGTCTCCAAAAAAACAAAACAACACAAAACAAAACAAAAATACAACTTCCAACTCCTTTTAAAACAATGAAAATGCACTCAATGAACATGAGCTCAAAGCTCTAGGCAAAAACTTTAGATCAATTAAGACCTGACCGCCACAGCAGGGAGTGGAAGCAATCTGAAACCCAGCGCTTGGGGAGGCTGAGGCTGCAGGATGGCAACTTGAATCCTCTCCTCTGCACCTTAGTGAGACCTTGTCTCCAAATAAAAAAATAAAAGGGACTGGGAAAAAGTAAAAAAATTAAATAAACAAAGTAAAAAGGACTGCGGCTGTGACTTAGTGTGAAGGCCTTAGGGGCCAGCCCCAGGATCAAAACAAACAACAAAACAATAAGCAAGCAGTCAGAACACCGGCTGTGGTGGCTTCTGGTGGGACCTTACACTAGGGGACTCATCTCCCTCTCCCTCTTTCTCTCTCTCTCACACACACACACACACACACACACACACACACGCTGAACGTCTGCACAAGGGTACCGCGTCAGCAGGGAGCTATCACTTCAGATGGTACAGCTAAGTCCAGGTGAGCTTGCAAAGAAGCAAGGTCAAATGTCACCTGACTTGTGCTAATATTGTTGGGACAATCGCATGACTGCATCTTGTACTCCGAGTAGCTAGTTTAAAGATAACAGGCAATGCATTAACTATTGTTAAGCTCCTGTTACATATAATTGCTTTTAAATTTTGTGGGTTTTTGTTTTCCCTTTAAAAGAAAATTAAAAAGAAAAGTCACCTGAGCTTCTCCACAGTACTTTGGCCCTTCCGGAAGTGACTGCACTGCGGGCCCCACCTCCCGGCGACGCACGCAGCCCCGGGCTGCTAAGCCTGCAGCTCTGCAGCGCAGGAACCCTGACCTGCTTTTCTCTGTGCCGCGCTGGGCCCGGCCCCAGGCCAAGCCTTCAACAAATAAACGTGCACACTCGGAAGCTAGCTGTGCTTAACCCCGTGCGACTGAAGGACCTGACGAACACGCTGCTCAGTATGTTTTCTTTACAGCTACTTCAGCCTTTACCCAGAAAAACTAAAGAAAGCTTAAAGCAGTTTATTACTCACACATACCACTTCCAAACTGGCATATAGTAAATCATGAAACTTAGCAATTTCTGCACAACTGCCTGAGTATCTTACTGAGTTTCATGTCGTGATTTAATGTTCTTTCTATCCATTCACTGTAGGTATGAAGTTCAGACAGACCGACCCCAGATCGGAACATCACATGTATTTTTATGTGCTCTGGGAGGCAGGATACGAAATGCCCCAGTGTAACGCCCAGCGACAGTGAAGGAGACACGGTGGGGTCACCTGGAGCAGTACGCTGAAAGGCACTCCGGTGCTATGCATGTGCCTCCTTGTCTGCGAAAGCCCAGAGAGCACAGGCCCACCAAGCCACTGTATGAGCAGGGAGACGTGAAATGTGAAACGTGCTACTGAAACTTCAGTCCCAGAAGTTTCTTGGTTACTTCTGCAGCACTAGGGACCGAACCCAGAGCCTCACGCATGCTAGATGTGTACTCTAGTGGGGAGCTATATCTGCACCCCTTTTTATTTTATTCTGAGATAGGGTCTTTCTAAGTTTCGAAGGCTGACCTTGAACTTGCAACCCTCCTTGATGGAGACCACTACAAAGCAGCCCTGAGCAGCACTTAATCAATCGGCTTTTCGTGTTCACTTGTGAATCTGTCCAAGGCCCAGGCTCCTTGTCTGGAAATGGACGGCGGACTCATAGTAAGTGAACCTCTGGGTCACTAAAGCCTACAATGGCGGATGAAGCCAGAAAGTCTCAAAGGGTAAGACAAGATAATAGCCAAGGACATCTGGACCCAGTCTCAACTGGATAAAGACAGTAGCCTGAGGCATCTCACCTTTGACAACTAAATAAATACGGGCCACCAGGAGAAGGTCTTGGTCTTAGCCTTGAGAGAATCTCGACTTCTATGAGAGGGCTCTGATTCTCCTGGAGCCCTGAAATTACTCCATTCGCCTCTTTTTATTTAGCCTTCGCTGTATACTTGTTCTGGAGATTGCAGACCTGATCAGCCCACAATTCACTCAGGGATCCTATTAACCCGATAATACCTCCTGCCTCGGCCTTCCAAGTAGCTAGATTACTGACATGTACGGCCCTGCCTGGCCGCAAGTATTCTTTTGTCTCCTGAAGGACATTAAAATCAAAGCTCTTTCCTCTGCTCCAAATCAAAGCTTCCCCTCTGCGCACATCACCAAATCCCGCGTAAGCACTCAGCTCACGAGGAGCCAGGAGACGCCGAGTGCCCACGCGACCACCACGGCCCTCCGCACGTGTCCCTGGCCCTGACGCGCCACGGCCCAGACACGCCTGTCGGTCTCCCCTCTGTGAATGCGGACAGGAGACACACACACGCGCAGACCCCCTCACGTCAAGCACAGCGCATACCTTGGTCTTCCCTGTGACAGCGCTTATAAAGTGCAAACTTGGCAGGGCTCTCCGTCACAAGGAACTTCTTAAGCAGGGCCTCGATGACTTCCCCGACAGTGTTTGTGCTGCTGATATGAAGCGTGTTCATGCAGCCGTTGCTGCTGGGAGACGTCTGTGGAGGTCTGCAGAGCTCCATCTGCACTTTAATGAAGCCAGTATAAATCCCATTTGAATTCTGAGGAGGCAGAAAATGCACACTGGGTTGGCAGGGGAACGCGGGCAAGGAGGGCATGCAAGGCAAACAGGAAGCGAGCCGCTGGGTTCTCTACTCAGAGCTGCCCTGAGGACGGCCCGAGGGCGCGACCTTGGAGGAGGTTCACTCGTACCACCGGTGGGGAAGCACTTCCTGGGGATCGGTCTGCAGGGCGCATGTGGCCACCAAAGGCACCTTCCCTCTCTAAGGATACCAGCCCCAGGCTCAGGCTTGCACCCGTTTGCAGCGCCATAGCCCCCGGCCAAACTGCAACTGCAGGAAGGGCTGGGGGAATCCGGGCTCCGAGCTCGAAGAAAACACCACCCTCAGCCGGTAACTAGCTATGCTCAAAACAGGAAGGGCACGGCTAGCACCGAAACGCTTCAAAGTCAGCAACGAGGGGCCGTAAGCAAAGCGGGTGCTTCGCTCCCAGTGGCTCCCGGATGTGTGCGCTGTTCCCAACCCTGCTTGTTAAACCTCGCTGTGCGCCACCCTTCCTGCACAGCGTGGGGTCCACTTCACGCGCCCCAAGCAGCAATGCTCTAAATTTATTTCCCTTAGTGCACATTTGCCATGCATAATGATCACATTCATCACAGGGAATTCGTACCTGTATATAATATACAAGCACCAACATTTTTAAAAACAAAGCCCAGCTACTACATGAGCTACAGATATTACAAGCTCTTGTCTTAACTTGGGGCAGAACCACTCTTTCTTGGTTGCCAAAACAGTAACAATGCTCTGAGCTTCCCTTTATTTAGAAGCAAATTACTGGCATGTTGTATTAAAATAAGTCCCCAGGTATTGCCATATAAATACCACAGCTAAAGGAAGGTTTAAAAACTTTTGTCTTAAACTTCCTTTATTAAAAACAAAAACAACCCTATGGTCCACCCCCCCCAAGTGATCAATTTATAATATAAATTCCCTTATTCATTCTTTTTAATAAAGTGCTGCACAACACTTAAAATTTTTCACCTTTAAAAAATACGGACCTGGGTGTGGTGGCACACACCTGTAATCCCAGCACTCGGGAGGCCGAGGCAGGAGGATCACCACAAGTTCGAGGCCAGCCTGGGGTACATAGTAAGTTCAAGGCCAGCCTGAACTACAAAGCAATACCCTGTCTAAAAAAAAAAAAAAAAAAAAACAGAAAACAATATGGAAACATGCATCTGTTTTAATCCCCACAGGCATAAGACAGAAAAAACTATGGCAAGTGCAGTTTTTCCCCATGGATGAAAAGTGTTTTTGAGAAAGCAGCACCGCAGTTGGAGTAGGCAGGACACTCCTGGGACGATCTCACCCTCTCCTGCCCCTCACGCAGTGCCCCTGAGCAGGGACTTCCACCACAGGGGCTTGTATTTTATCTCTCCCCAAGGGTCAAAGAATTCATCTCTTTTTGTCTTTTTTTTTTCTGAGACAGGGTCTCGCTACATAGTCCAGGATGGCTTTGAACTCGCTTCTGTAGTGCAGCCTGGTCTCCCACTCACGGCGATCCTCCTGCCTCAGTCTCCCGAGCGCTGGGATTACAGGTGTGCCCCACCACGCTCAGCTGGGCCTGTTCTAAACAGGTCACCCGTCCTTTACCCACCTCTGTCAATGTACAGGACCAAGCGTCCTGGGAAGGAGCGTAGAGACGACAGGGGCTTTTGGAAGGACACCAACTGGTGCACACAGCCGTCAGTTCAGTCTCAAGCTCTGCAGTCAGCTCCTTTCCGCCGTCCCCAAGCCCTGACCCCTCCCTCGCCGGCCTGCACTCACCACTGTGCTTCCCACAGGGCGGGCGGGCGGGCGGGTGCCCATCCCGGGCGTGGGATGCACCTCCGCTCACGCTGACGCCCGGGGAGGAAACCTTAGCTCCGCTGCACTCCAACCCTTGGGCATGAAATCGCCCTGACTTTTCCATTCTGACTTGATGTAAGAGACGGAAATCATCTGAGGTCTTACTAGACTCTGAGCTGTCATCTGTATGTTAGGAAATAAAAAACCCTTTGAGGAGGAGGGGTTGCAAAATCCTCCAAAAAAATTTACAAGTGTTTCACTTTTTAAGGCTAACCTAACTACACATGTTCAGACAAAGCTACTTCAGAACCCAAACTGAAACATTCTATTTTCCTGCTCGGCATATCTTCACCACCACCCTTCTGCAAATGTTATTCGGACACGGTAAAACATACAGATGATGTCATCGACAACCTGGATCTGGCTTTTGATGGGTTTCAGCCTAAACAGCACTCAACAGCTCCCATCTGTCTTTCGAAGGACGCCAACCTAAACAGTGTTAAGGGTTCTTACCAAGGTCATCTTCAGCTTATCCGTGACAGCTAAATTGTATTTCTGAACTTTCTCTTTGATTTCCTCTTTGCTGAGGTAATTGTGAGTCTCTTTCTCTTTCTCCACATCCTAGAAGAAAAACAAGCAGTGCCACACATGAGCGATCGTAGAAAAACAAGGCAGATAAACCAGGGTTCTTCTTACACCCCACATAAAAGAGGTGCGCTTTACCTTGAAACACACATACTCGGTCTGTCTAGCATCATCTACCAGCTTACAGTGCTACCGTACATTCCTCAGGCTACAGTCTTTGCAGGGAATACATTAATTAAGACTAAGCCACACTCCAGTAAGTATTATTCTGAGACACTGTCAAGGCTAAATCTCTCTTCTGTAAAAACAACCCTCATCCCCCACACTGCGTCCTACATTGGCCATTTCTACTTTAAACTTTTGTTTTGTTTTGTTTTGTTTTTGTATTTTTGAGGTAGGGTCTTGCTAGATACTTCAGGTGATCTTCCTGCCTCAGCCTCTTGTGTGCTGGGATTGCAGGTGTATGATACCTGTAATCCTACTTTACTTACCTGCATATCCTACTTTACTTTAAACCATAAAGGTACACACCAAAAGCCTCTCTTTAGCAAATTCTATTCACAGTATGGTATTTATAGCTTTACAGTATTTATCAGTGAAAAGTACAGTAGTTAATAAGTATTAATTAAGAGCACCAACCACTGACCTCTTAAACGAAAAACAAGTACTAGAGGGTAATGTGTCTTCCCAACAAATCCCTATGCCAAGACACAGCAGCCAGACTTCCTCGACCACCCATCCCTACCACCCCTCCGGCCTCGCCCCACCTCGGCCTCCCTGGAGAGCAAACACTGGTTAAATTCTCTCATCACGGGAGGAAGCTCAAGGGGCAGCGGAACCAGGAGCGGCAGGGGAGGCGGCAAGGGACAAGGGAAAACAAGGAAACAGGGAAAGGTGCTTTTGTAAACAAGGAGGGGAAGAGGGGCTGAAGGGAAGGAAGGAAATGGAGGATCGAGTTATATCGCGCACAGGTACAAACTATAACGAATGCGATCGTGAGGTGCATCTAAGTGTACCAGTAAGCTTCCTTTTAAAAACATCTTTCAAGAAAAGATCCTGGTGTGCGCAAACATTTGGGGTCTCTGTTTGCTTTTTTCAGGAGGGAGGGTTCAATATGCAACCAGGCTGGCCTCAAGCTCACGATCTTCTCTCCTCAGCCTCCTGTGTGCAGAGATTGCAGGCAGATGCCACCCCAGCAGCTGATGTGGGTAAACACTGGGAAACTTAGAGTCCGCACAATCAGATTTAAACCTACGTAGCAACTTAGAAAAGAAGGGCCTAAAAATGCGCCAGCTTGAGAGAGGAAACACACGCGCCTTTTCCAGCCAAGCCTAGCACACTACCCTCACAGCTGGGTATTCTCCAAGCAGACATTTGTGCACATCTACTCCCTGTGAGCTGCTGTTATAAATACACCAGGAACGGCCACTGCAGGACTTGCAGGAATGCCATATAGAGTATGAAATGGCTCGAGCCACTCTTGTCTCAAGTTCTTTGATTTCAGACCCTGAAATCTAAGGGGCGGGGGGGCCGACTATAAATTACCTCAGCATTTGCAGTCCCAGCAGCACGGTCCTGGAGAGGTCTGCTGGGTCAGTGGGTCTGTTCCTGGCACTGGGGACGGCCCCGAGCCCCCCAAAAGCATTTCCCTGGCCAACAGAAAGCCCTACATCAACCTTGTTTTTGGTGTTACTGGTTAGGGATAAAACGCGGCAGGCTACAGTAACTTCCAACTGTCACTTCAGTGACGATCCCCGAGGAAATTTACATCGTGCACCACAGCTCTCCTCACTCTCCTCTTTCTGGTTCACAGTGAGCCGGCTGCCAGCCAGAGCTGGAGAACAACCGAGGCGCCTTTCTCCCTGCTTCCTCTCCCCAGCTGGACACGGAGTGAGCGCGCTCTGCCTACCGAGCGCCACCCCAGCCCTTTCTCATTTCACTTCGAGACATGCCCGTGTGGGCTTCCAACCTGCGGTCCTCCGGCCGCAGTGTCCACCACCACCCTTAAGCAGGGACTGGCCAGTTCTCCCTCATATCTGCGGGGTACTGGCTGCAGGACTCCCAGCAGATACCAAAACTCTTGGAGGCTCAAGTCCCTTACATAAAAATAAATTTTTTTTTTCGTACCAGGAATCAAACTTAGGACCTTGCACTTGCCAAGCGGGTGCTGTGCCACTGAGGTATCTCCCCGGCCCCAGAAGGTGTTACATTGCATGTAATTTGTGCAGAGCACCCAGTCCACTTTAAATCATTTCTGATTACTTCTAATGTCTAATACAATGTAAATGCTAAGCACATACCTATTACACTCTATTGTTCAGGGAATAACGACAAGAAAAACGTGCACATATTAAATACAGATGCTGTAGCAAGAAACACCCCGGCACACACACCCAGAATATTTCAGTTTCTCAGTTGCCCGCGTGACAGTTCCTGTTCCAGATCTGGTTGCTCCTGTCTCTCAGAAACGGCTGGTCACGGTGACACACAGCTGGTCACTGTGATGCTCACTGGATAAGCCAATCCCCAACTGACAAGCCGTCCTGCCTCTGCACTTGCTGCCTGCTGACCCCATATAAGCCCGAGACCACCAGGGATCAGGGGTCTAACATTCAGAGAATGATCCAGATCAGTGCCGTCAGCGCAGAAAGTCTGCCTCCAAAGCCTGGGCGTCGTTTTGGTGTTTGTGCCTGCCCCTGCAGCCGGCGCATCAGCTGGGAACACGGACTGCGCTGACCTCTTTGGTCAGCGGTCGCGGCCCTTGCAAACGGAGCAAGGCCTCTGCGGGTCCCGACGGGAAGGTGCACCCCTGAGATTTCCTGAGTCCCCCTGCAGGTCCGGAGGAGGGCTCCCGGCTCCTCCCTGGAGTGGCTCACCTCAGACCCCAAGGGGAAGAGGACGCAATCTGTGTCTGTCTGCCTGGCTGCCTGATCCTAAGACCCCCAGGGCACCCCAGTGAGCCAGTCTGTGAGTCCTGCTCAGTTGAAGCAGAAGAGCTTGACCACCTCTTGTCAGTTAAGGCCTCCTCAGGGGAAGGGGGCTGAGCGTTTCACCTGAGCGCCCGCTGAGTGAATGTGTGGGTGGGCCGGACGGTGTAAGCAAGAGGCTGCTCCGACTGTGCTCCGAGACTGGGAAGCCCTGGTCACAGTGGCTGGCTGGGCCGCGCCCGCGGCTCCACGGCGACAGAAGGGGGTGTGGCCAGGCGGGCATCTGAACGGCCGCTCTCTGAGGGACAGCCATCATTCAAGGGTACACAACATACCCCGTAGGGAGACAGAATGGGAACTAACTGGTTAAAACCCACTGTCCCTGACTGCAGGAAAAGGGGCTTTCTTACAGAGTTAAAAATGAAAGCAAACCACTCCCTGCATCTCAAAGAAGAAAAAGGAAAAAGCAGCCCATTCTCCCTGAGAAGTCCGCCCTGGCGCCCTCGTCAGCTGCTGAGTTGCTGCCAACACCGACAGCTCCACTCCCTGCTCCCAACTCACCCACTTCCAGCCAGCTGAACTGGGTCTAGCTCTGCGCTGCCTGCCTTTGGCCGCACAGGCCCCCCTCCAGAGCCGCCTCCTCAAAGCCTATGCCGGCCAGATGGCATCATCTAATGCCCACCCGAGATGCGACTGTCAACAACTCCTTCTGAGTCCCACATTCTGACTGAGGAACTGGACAGTCGGCCCTGGCAAATGAGTTGCGCCCTGCCAGGCCTGCACAGGGAGGACGGACCAAGTTCTACCCAGAGAGCCTGCAGTCACTGCCAAGGTCGGGGGCAGACCTGTGACTTTCCTGGTAGACCATGGAACAGAACTCTCTGCGGCCAAGTTACCACCACTGAGGCAGCTGGGACTCCTGCCTGTCGCCCCTTCTGCCAGGCACAGACTTACAGCCTGGGAGGTCATCTCCTTTGCACCCAGCCCGTCTTAACCCCGCACATTCAACTCTGACTGCTCCCTGAGAGGAAGATGACACCTGCATCAGGCCGAGACAGACGCCTGCACCCCTGAAGTTCTCAAAATTCTTCTCCCAGACATACACTCGCCTCTGGGCCTGGATACCATCCATGATCGGATGCCACAGAAAGCACAAGCAGGCATCAGGCCACACATCGGCCTGACAGACTGCTGACCACCGTGGGCCAGATCTCCGTGCCGTCAACAATGCAGCCTCTGCTTGCGAGTTGCTCCCACAAGCCCCCTCAACTGGGAGATCCGGAGATAAAGGGCCAGCTCACTCGGACTCAATCGCCAAAAGGGGTGAAGAGCTCTCCCACCTTGACTCCGCACCTGTGTCCTGCACGGCAAGGAAGCCATCCTCGTCATCAAACTAACCCGCACAGCCGTCTGAGAGGCTCTCAGACTCAGCCCAAGCCAGAGAAGTTTCATCCTGTTCCTCCCGAGGACCCCAAGTCCAACCTGCCTCCTCCCGACATTCCACCCCCGGCAGTTCTGTCTCCTGCACCACAGCCTCCTCCTCTCCCAGATTAATTCCCTTGGCTCAACTGGCGTAAGGGGTTAAGAACCCTTCCACCTTGGCTCTGCACCTATGAACCCACCTGCCAACATGGGACAACTGGCAGCAACCCCTTCTGACTCTGTTTAATACTGAGGAGCACTGCCACATTGGAGACGGGCCCCAGCCTGGGTAAAGTCAGAAGTCCCCACCACTGTGGTCGATCCTGATGCCTGGATGAGCACAGTCCTCCCCCAAGCACGTCCAAACTGGGACTGTACTGTGACAGAGGGCGTGAAGCCTTAGATCAGGACCGCACTGCTCTCCTGGCGGACCTCAAAGAGGGAGAGAAGCCAGTAAACATGCCTAAAGTTCCTGAAGTTACCCACCGAGGCCCCACTGAAAAGAAATTCTGCTAAAGCAGATCCTGTGAGGCTGATGGGCACTTTATCAAACACGAATTCCTGGACATGCTTGAGTGCCCTGTACCTCTCCTGGGACGTGACCAGCCTCCCTCACCCTCGGGTCCACTGTCCCAGACTTGACATTGACTCTGACTGAACTTCAGGAGGAAGAACAGCACCTACATC